AATTAAATGAATACGCGTGTTTTTCAGTTTCATTTCCTCCAATTAACGAAGTATTGATTGAAGAAAGACATATGTCATAAACAAGTATGTAAAGGATATACGACGCAAGAGCATATAATCTCGAACATTATAATTGTTATTCTCTGGTCAACCTCAGACCATAATAACCACCTAGTAAGAAGTTCATAGAATTAAACACAATAATTAAAATACGATTTTCAATGGAATAAAATTCGAACATGTTTGTAAACTTCAAGTGATTAAATTGGTTCATGTCCTTATATTGCCTTCAAGTGTCAGTTTAGCCCGGAGGCGTCTCATCAAATTGGCTGTCCTAGGCGCCTGGTTAACGATGAGGGAAACATACATGAAATGTATATTTAATTAAAGAAACGAAAAAGAAAGTAGACTGTATTGAGTCTCACCAACTGTAAGTTTTGTGAAAATTAGTTTTTGATTTTAGGTAATCTGAGTCACTCAGGTGACCCATTGTTAACTGTTTTTTTCCGTCGTCGTCCATCGTGCATCGGTCGTAAATTTTTGAATATATTCAGCTTCTTCTCTGGAACCGCTAGACCAATTAAATTACCAGAACCATCAAAATCAATACAGTCTTCGAAAATCTTCCTTTTTTACTTCTACACACAAAGAAATCAAACTGTGGTAGGCTATTAGCCCTATATTAAAAGTGTAAAATTCATGTCCTTAGGATCAGGGGGGTTAGTGTTAGGACGGGGTTTTGATAATGATGATCATACAGTGAGATTTATCAGTTCTTTAACAATATTCTCTCCCCCTGTATCATCTTTACAATATCAAGGTTTTGTGATTTCGGAACTCCACACAAACCCTTGACATAAGTCGTTATTTAAAAATTGGACTTGTGGTTACACATGACGTAATTAACTAACCAATGAGAATATATTTTTAAATCCGTCGTTATCAAATTGCCCAACTTCAGAGCATATCTTTTGTGATTGTAAGGAGGACGTCTTCAAAAAATTAATCTCCGATGTTTTATTTAAAGTAACTAGTCACAAATCCTACAATATTGACACTCCATTTTAAAGACAGGTCATATTTGGTTACAAAACTTACCTACAATAAAAGCTGTTTTCTGATTATTTCCAGTCCTAGATCAGGAACAAATGAAATAGTAGCTTTCTAGCCCAACTTTTAAATAATGACAAACCAAGGGTTTGTTTGGAAAAACCTTGACATTTTGAGGATGTCCCTGTATATTTAGCAAACAAACTTAGGGTATTGTTATGATGTGCAGGGGTACCAGTTTAAAAATGTAAAATTTGTGGCCCTTTGTCAGGGTTCTGGTGTTACATGTAAGTCGATTTCTATTGATCTTATTTGAAAATGTATTAATTTTTTAAATTTTTTTCTGCTCATGATTTTTAGCTTAGTGAATAGTAATGATAAGCGAGGATGCCTAGCCAATACTTGTGAAATTCATAGCCCTGTACAGTGTATATGGCCTATGGTATTAGGACGGGGCTCCATTGATCTTCATGTGAAAATGCTTTTATTTTTGGAAATTCTTTTTCTCTAGCAGACACACTAAATGCATGGTTATGATAAGTAGGGTCGCTTCTACCTAAATTGTGAAATCGGTGGCCCCAGTCTCAGGGGTTCTGTTGTTAGGATATGGTTTTATTTATCATGCAGTAAAAACGAATAATTTTCTCTGCTATTGAGCAACCAAAAGGGACATCTAGTATATAGCTTGAAAGAACAAGGGTGTGTTTTACAGCTTTTCGAAATTCATGACCACTGTGTAAAGGGTTCTGGTGCTACGACAGGGATCCAGTGAACATGTGCGGATATTTTTACTCTACTTTGATAGACGTTATGCTCCTTTTACTACTCACCTATGATAATTTATCACTGTAATTAATGTCATTTAATAAAAGAATATACAATATATTTTGTTTTTAAAGGTAAAATGCAAAATGCACTTTAATAGTTTTTAATGGTAAGATAGACTTGTAAATAATAAATAAATAAAAGGGACAAAAATATCTTCTTGTCTCTGATTGGCTCTGACCCTATGTATGTGTCAAATACAACTTTGCACATTTTCTTTCTAATTTTCCTTTCATGTTTACATGTAAGAAACACCCAAAAGAAAAGATGAATAATTAAACAATTGCTACAGAGTAATTTTCATCAACTATTTTTCTCTATCTTTCTTTATATTAATGCATTGTAAGGTAGTCCGATCCTCAGGTTCTGAAAATAAACAGTTAAGAAATTGAAAATTCTCAAAAAATGTATCTATGATTGATTGGTTGTATATTGTTTTTACGACCCATTCGAGAATTTTTCACTCATATAGAGACGTCACCAAATACCGGTGAAGTGCTTCAAATTTTGACCTTTACTCGGCACCCAGGGCCATTGAGCTGTGAGGGATCTTTATCGTGCCAACACCTGCCGTGACCCGGGGCCTCGGTTTTTAAGGTTGCATCCGAAGGACCCGCAACTTTCACTTCAAAGTACTGAGCGCATAGCGAAGGAACATTTGCTACCCATTTTCTATCGACTTAGGTCAGTAGCGGCCGAGATTCGAACTCACGACCTCCCGTCACGAAGCGAGCGCTCTACCGACTGAGCTACCGTGAACGGTCAAAAAATGTATCTAAATTCACAAAGTAATGAGGATTTACCCATAGTATTTCAAAGTTCATCATTATAGTCAATCATATCATATAGTGGAAATTATGAAAATTCAAATATATTTTCAGGAAATGCGAACGAAATCACCAGCTATGCATTTTCTAATTGCAAATTGATCAACAAATATATTTTAGTATAAAAAAATATAGGTTACCAGGCATTCGGAGAAAACTGCATGTTTTTATATGGTACTTTAGTTCTTTTATTTACATGAATTCTTTTATAACACGTGTAAAAAGCTTGTGCTATCTTTGGAATACATCAAAGATCACTTCTAATTTCATATCATGCTTATACGCATCGGTATCTAAGGTTAGATTTAAGGAAATTTATTTCTATAAAAATGTATTAATTTTTGTATTTTTATGGGATACAAATGTCAACTTTTTACAATACAGTTTATAAGACATCAGAGAAACTTGAATCGTTTTGAGATGAATGAAATGAAAATTGTTACACAAAAAAATTTCAATTTCAAGCTTCATTTGGAGACTTTTAAAATGAAACAAGTATTTTCAAGAGTTATCCTTCCTGGCTGAGGAGCGGATATCCTTAATTGCTTTCCAGTAATGTCCCAATACAATATGTGAAAAATGAAGATAATGAACAGTGACCGATTCTAAGAAAAAGTACAAACACTTCAAATCTTTGAACAGGGCATAAAACGGACCCCTGGAAATTCCAGAGGTGGGATCAGGTGCTTAGGAGGAGTAAGCATCCGCTGTCGACCGGACACACCCACTACGAGTCCTATGAATGGATCAGGTAGACGGAATATTCAGTAGTCAAAATTAGAAGGAACAAACGCTTAACAATTGATATGAAATATGTCAGTAAAAATACGACCCAATGTATGTTATATTTGCTAGCAAGGTCATTATAAATACCATAGAATTTACGAAACGCTGACTTTAAACGAGGTTGTTGAAATTCCTGTAACATCAACTTCTCTGTCAGTAGCCTGTCTCGGTTTTAAAAATTTTCCTTACTCGGCGCATGTTCTTGCGTATTGAATAAGTTGGGAGACAATCGGAATTTCAACAATTTGTTGGAAGAACTGGTCTCCAAAGCCTACATAGATGTTGTCAATGGGAAAGTCCAGCATCCTTTTAGTATCAACTAGTACTTGCGTGTAGAATCAGAGTAATTTTATCAAAGTTATTTTGTTGAAGACCAATCACAAGATACGAACATTTCATTTTTATTGAGGAAGCAGTTGTCTATGATGTCCAAAATCCAGCTCTTTAATGTATCATGAGAAATGGTTGTATAAAGGGTAGAGAAGACACGTTTTTCATGTTACCTACTTTAAAAAAAATGATTTTATATTTTCTGGATTTTTCGGTGTTTTTGAGAATCCACATTTGATTTACACAACTTCTAGTATAGGCTGTAGCACAGTAAGTCAGGAGTTTCTCCTTTACAGCAATTAATATTTTTGTGAGGTATAAAGATAGGTGTTTGGTAGGGCTCTTGCTGGACTCGGCAATGTATCTTTGTGCGGTTTTATGAAATTAAGGAATCCAGAATAGGTAGGGTAGATCGAACTCACCTTCGTTGACTTGAATGGTAAAAGTATTAAAGATTGTAATGTGATTTTGAAGAATTTCATCCTTAGAAGGTGGAGTGTGAGAATATGTTAAGATTTTCAAATGTAAATTAAAACCAAGTTCTTCTATAAAACATTTATAATAATGAGCCTTACAAACAAAGACGATATTGTTTTAAGCCTCGCTTGCTGGAACCAAAATACATTGTGCATGTACTCTTTATAATTCCTTTATCACCTCCGAAGAGAAAACGAAAGGATAGATGGTTCGCATATTACCTTTTTAACTTTTTAAAACGATTCATTTAGGTTAGAAAAAGGTAATTTAATGTAAAACTTGATTTCATTTTTGGCACAGGTGACCTGGGTTAGTTACCAACTGCATATCATACATGTTCATTCAGGGCTTTTTGACTTAATATCCTATTGTTATACACAGAAATATATTGAAATATTCTTAAAATAACTTCTGCAAGTAGGGCAAGGCTACAATTTCTGAGATATTCAAAATCAATATACCTTGTAAAAATGCTGAAATCATTGAACTTCATCAGTTCATGGACACCAAAAGGAAATCAATCATGTACATATACTCATTCATCTACATTTGACAGAAAAGTAACTGAGAATTTTAGGTCTCTTAATTAAGATTTTTAAACTAATTATAAGATTTAACAATTTTACATATAATTGCATAATGAAATTGATAATTTCGTATCCTTTTCGCGACCGTTAACTTTTGTCTGTTACAAATCTTAGAATAATGACGGAACTTCTAGATCAGAAATACAGACAGCAGTTGGCCACCTGGATAGGAAAGACCTCTCATTTCCAGTTGCTGTACAAGATTAGCAGAGACGGATGTTCAGCTAAAACATTTCACCAGAAATGTAACAGTAAGGGAGAAACGGTGACTGTTTTCTACAACACAAACAATACAATATACGGGGGATACCTGTCACAGAGCTGGAATTCTAACGGCAAAAACATCATTGATCCTAATGCGTTTTTGTTTCGACTGCAGTATAATGGGTCATCAAATCCACTTAAGTTTCCCATTTCCGATACAACTTATGCTGGGTATGGACAATCAAATTATGGGCCAACATTTGGTGATGGCTTTGACATTTATTCTTTTAGTGGAAACATCAACAAGTCTGGAAATTACTTTCCTTTGAATGGTTCTTTCAATATGGGACACTCATACACTTTAAATGGACAAAACGTGAATTCCATAGCAAATGGTCATCTTCAAGTGACGGATCTAGAAGTATACCAAGTGAAAGGTAACTTGATTTTGTAAACAAACAGTTTAAGCTGTTAAATTAAGTACTTGCCTTAATCATTTCGCTTAATCGTTTTGATGCAAATAGTCTATTTTAATGATCTAGATGGCCCTGACCCAAACAAATCAACAGAAAAGGCAGTGGGTTCTGCACTTCTGGACAACCCTTGGAGAAAGTTTCCAGAGTTTAATGTGGAGGTTCATACATATTTATTTCTGAATAATTCTTTATCTAAGAGATAAAACAAGTGCATGATTTGCTCATTATACGTACATTTAATGAATTTAAATTGCTAAAAGATTAATCGTCATGCGTGCATATTTTTTCTCCATACTTTCTTAGACTACATTCATGTAAATTTATTTGATCAATTAATAAACGTCATTTTTACATATTTGTTCTCTATATATTTCCTCTACTGCATTCGTTGAAATATATGTATTTTGATGAAGTTTATTTTGCAAATAATTATAAGGTAGTGCAACAACTGAAAGAATCAATTGTTGATTTTGAACCTGAGAATGAGGCTAAGTTGTCTGCCGTCAACGTTCTTCTGATTGGTCAGATTGGGGCGGGAAAATCCAGCTTCTTTAACTCGGTGAACTCTATTTTCCGGGGAAAAATCACCAGTAAGGCTCGCAGTGGGAGTTTTGAGCACAGTCTAACAACAGTGGTAAGAAACGTAATTGTATTTGATGAGAATTGCAAATCTCTTATGTCAGTGTAATGATAAGCATGGTTGTAGTTTGGTGCTAATGCAACAGATACATGCTTGTTTTACTGATCATAAATTATGGCAATGAGATATCATACTTGAAATGTTATAGTTTTGCGAACTGGATGATATAATTTTCAATGGAATTCTTTAATATTTGTGGTACATAACTTCCGCATATAAATGACACATTGTTTTAGTTTCGAAGATACACCATAAAGGACCAGAACTCGGGTCATAACCTGAAGATTCGCCTGTGTGACACTCGGGGTCTGGAGGAGGATTTTACAATAGACGCTCAGGAGATTGTTTACATACTGGACGGAAACGTACCAGACAGATACCAGGTAGAATAAAAGTATAAGATGCTATTTCTGAAATTTTTATTTCTTTCTTATGTAATTCAATTAAAGTGTGTTGGTTGTTTACCTGTAACTGATTATTCTGTAACATGTCATTATGACAGAAAGGTTTGGGCGAGTGCAGTCATCTCTGCCAATAATGCAATACGCAAATTCAAGGAATTGATGTCTCCTACTTAAGGATAGAAGTATATGGAGATAAAGTTACATTTCCAACAGTTTTCTTTCTGATAACTCTTTAAAGTTATTTGTGTTAATTACTCGATATTTACAACTGAATGTAAATGTCGCCAAGTGAAAGGTGAAGTGCTTAATATGCGTGTCAATTCCCCGGACTGTCAATGTTTCTGACTTCAGTGGGTGGGGAATGGAATGGTTGGTATATTTCAATTCTATTAGACAGCACTTTTGATTTTTTTCACATTTAAATGTAAATATAAGGAATTACTGTCTAGTTTGTTGAATATCTACGGACATTAACGACAGTTGGAAACATACATGGGTTAATTAATACAAATTAATTAGCTCATTATGCAAATAATCCCACACTACCAACTGTCATTAATGCCGTGACACTGATTACTTAATTTTCCAGAAACCCCTTTGATATATGTCATTGGAAATTTTAGTATGAAATTTCACTGCAAAAGCTTAATAAATATTATTAGAGATATCGTCCGGTAACTAAAGTGTACTATCTCATAATTTGTATACATTTCTGCCTTTGAACATATGACCTCAAAATCAAAATAAATCCTTGTAAAGTCATAAAAGTTATAGAGGGAAATTTCGCTGTAAAAGCCTCAGTACTTTCAGAGTTATCATCTGGAAATGAAATTGTTAAAGACGTACGGTAAGTGCAGAATGACGGACAGACAGGCAGAAGATGACAGGGGTAAAAAAAATTCTGTATTTTGCCATATTTTAAAGAGATTCTATTTCATTCTTTTTTAACTTTAAAGTAAGTCATTGCCATGCATGCAAATAGGTTTTTTTTCACACACTCTTCAAAATATTCTTCAACATTGCCTAAATTTCACCTCATATTTCCTCCATACATGCACGTTAATTGTCAATAGAAAACGGTATGCTTTGCACAGGTCGCTTGGCTACATTAAAGTGGTCTCCTTAAATGTAAAAAATGCCGAAGGTTTACTTGTAGGTTAGTTTATAGGATAACCGAGAAAGAACTACGATTTGCATATCTGAGATCTAATATAGATTGTTTCTGTAAAATGGTTATCTGCATAAAGTCTGGTTTATCATATTTTACTATTCGAAGTAATTTATATTTTCCTTTGTATTTTCCGCCAAGATGACAGTTTAAAGTTTCTTATAATCACTGCCTACAGAAATGTAAACATACATGTACGAAGATTTCGTGTAAATCAGATAGATAAACTGCATGTTGTCTCGACGTGAGAGTTGTTTCAAAGGGAACTCTGGTCTTTATGGTTGTAAAATTCACATTAGCAGACGTGTTAAAAATTTGCTTTGTAAAGATTACGAAGTAAAGATTACATTATGCAGTGCAATTTGTTTCCAGTTTAATCCGTCGTCACCGTTTACCTCGGAGACGTTTGGATTCATTCGGAACCCAAGACTTGGAGACAAAATTCACTGTGTGGCGTTTGTGGTGGACGGAAGTACAATTGATGTTATGCCCCAAAAAATTCTCAAACAGCTTAAAGATTTACAGGGGAGGATGAATCAGAGAAGTAAGTGTGTTCAAAATTTCTAAATTATGAATATAATACTACTGTTAGGCTATTACTGAACGATCCACTGAAGTACACTCTCATTTCTTGATAAGTGAATTATATCATATATCCTGTCAAATTTTCCTCAAACTATTCGATTTAATTTAAACCTGCAAACTATTTGTTTCACTGAACAGATATACCTCAGGTCGTGTATTTGACTAAACTGGACAAAGTCTGCCCAAAGGTCAATGAGGACGCATCCAATATGTTCTACAGTCCAGCTGTCCGTGACACCGTCAACAAGGTTGCTGACGTCATGGGACTTCCACGTGGCCATATCTTGCCTATCAAAAACTACGAGAATGAAACAAGTTTGGATCCTAATATTGATGTTTTAATCCTGAAGGCCTTGAAGCAGACGGCAGATTTTGCAGACGACTACTTGGAGGAACAAGTAGATAAATTGGCTGCCGAAGGAAGACGAGAGGAAAAAGACTAAAATGATTGACGGGGACTGGGAAAGTTTGAGTGAAATTTAAGCTTTAAATGTTACATGAAAGGCAGTTGTGTTATGCACTGAATTATTTAGGATCGGAATCTGAAAGAAAAACATTTATTTGAAAAAAAAATATCTGTTTTTACGAAATTTGTCAAGAATATTTTTTAGAGGTTCTCTGCAGAAAATCAGTAATTAAACAGTTAAGTGATAAGGAGGGAGAGTTTCTTTTTACACAATCTTTTCAAATAGTCTAAGAATGAAAGAATGATAATACTATTTTATGTACAATAGGCTAAATTCGAGTTCAGAGGTACATGAAATATTTGCAGACTTTTGTCACCTTGCAATTACTAGTAAGTTCGTGGTAAGAACACAAATATAATTATACATTATATTCTGTCTTAAATTGATTTAATATTTGTATATATACTTAAATTATCTGCACGGCATATAATCCGTGTTGACTAGTACACAGTCTTTGGACTATAGACAATTATGTTACTATAAGATGCTTTTTATCGTCCACCTTTCTTTTTTATGCATCAATTGTAGTAATTTCATAATGAAGTTGTGTCGTATCAATTGGTGGGCTGGTGACTATTTGGTATATATTTCTTAATACAATAATGTATTGATCCTCTGAGTTTATATTTCATTTTTGACAGAATAGAAAGCAAAATATGTGTACACTTTGAGATATATATATATATATATATATATATATATATATATATATATATATATATATATATATATATAAATATATATATATATATATATATATATATATATATGACATATGGCTTTAGGAGACCAAGGAGGATATATTTTCTGGCTTAGGGAGACCACTGGATTAAGGCGACCTTTTTCGGTCTCCCTATTATTTTGACCTCATCAGTATTGCAAATGTCTTTTTATAGATAAATAAACAGTCTGCCATTAAATATTATTAATCTTTAACTCTGTTATTTAACATTCAAAAGTTGTCTAATTTCTGTCATCTTCCCTAAAAAAGAAAAGAATTTATAACCTACGTATAATTTCAAAGGATAATTTTTCTGCATTTTGGAGACCATGAAAAACATGCAATTAAACAAAAAATCTAGCATATATATTTTTTCCGCTTTTGATTTGTTCAAATGAGTGTTTCTTTAACTTATTTTTCCATGTTTTATGTTAAAAACCTAAAAAGGAAAAATATTGTAAATTTATGAACCATGTTTTGAATTCTTAGCAAGTGCTTTCCGTCATTTGTTCCGAATGCCATCGGAATGCCCCTTCAGTTTTCAGAAAATGACCTCTGAACACCATGGATGTTGAGAAATTTGGGTAAGTAACTAAAATGATACAGTAATAAGTTGTAATTAAGAATACACAAGACAAACATTCGTTTGGTTTTTTTGTTGTTTTTTTTTTTTGCCTAGTAATTTAGCTTTCAAGAGAAAAGGTATGATTTTAAATAATCGTTAGACTATAGTTCGGTATATAAAATCCTGAAGAAAATTCGAAATAAAGTTAAATGATAGGCCCCTATATTTTTTTAATTCTTTTATGCAAGTCCACAAACAAATTAAATATTTAAAGATTAGGCCGAAGGTTGAAAAAAATAGTCTCGCAAGTTGACGCAGCTATTTCGAGCTTAAAAATTTAAATTAAACTTTCTGTAAACATCATGCAGGACATGTTCATCATGATATAGTATAAATGAAACAGACCCTGTAAGAAAAAAATAGCTGTAATTTAATAATTGTTTATTAATATAATGTGGTCCTCTGCTAATAGAATATATATGCTGTAAAAAAAATCTGAATCAGGGTGAAGCAGATTTGATACAATACATGGCTGAAGGAACGGGGGGGGGGGGGGGCAGGCCCCCTGTAATTTTGCTGAAATTTAGGTATACTATAGAAAACATTGCTCCTTTATGCTTGGGCCCCCTCAATAATAACCTCTGATGATCTATTTTTCTTTTGCTTTTGGGCCCCCTCAATAATAACCTCTGATAATGTATTTTTCTTTTGCTTATTAAAAATTTTTTTGGTTTGTAGCCTCCCCCAACCTGAAACTGAAAAATGTTGTTTGGTTGTGCTCCCCCCCCCCCTTCCAACTAAATTACGTACGGGCCTATTCTCCATCCCTGAGGTTTTCTTTCACCAAAGAAAGATGAATTGGTAACAGTTCAGATATATATAGCAATATTTACGGAAGGGAATATTCTCATTTAATTATGAATATGTGACAGTAACTCAGTCAAGGCCACAGTGAGTGTAACATTTATTTAATATTATTGTTAATGTTTACAAATAGTGAAATACTGATACTGTGAAATTTTAATGGATATATAGAAAATATAAAAGTACAACCATTTATTATAAATCACATACATGAAAAGCTTCTTTTTTTTAAGCAATTGGAAATTCTTCATTTTTTCATGAAATTATTTTATTTCGTATGTATGATCATAATTTATTTCGTATTTTAATTCTGTCAACAAATCATTGTCGCAGCCTAGTTCCCTTCATTATTTTCAGCAGTTCAGTGACAGAGATAAAATAATCATTTGAGGTTTATATCCCCCCTCCCCACCAAATGAAACTGAAAAATGTTTGGTTTTGGTCCCCTTCAACTGAAATTGATTCTTACTTACCATGCTTACAGGCTTAAGTATGAAGATGTGACAGGGAGTTTAATAACAATAATTGTTCAGACGGATACATATTAAGCTGATATACGTATCAAATTTTAATGGATAGATAGAAATTAATAAACAATTACAACCATTTATTATAAACTACATAAAGATAATTTTTCAAGCAATTTGAAATTCTTCATTTTTTATGATAATATTTTATTTCGTATATATGTTTATAGGTTTATTCGTATCAACAAATCTGTGTACGAGCTAATAACGCAGCCTGGTTCCCTGCATTTTCAGTTAACCACAGAGAACCAGAATAAGATTGTAGGGAAACAAGCCTTGTTACAAGGTTTGAGGTTTGTTTATTTTATATTTTAATTTACACTTTTAAAAATTATTATTATTATGCAAAAATCTGTGTGCAGATGAATATTTACATTTTAATGTTATAAGTCGTTTTGTGGTTCATATTTGCGGTGACTGTCCCACGTGTGTTTACCTGTTTACATTCACCAACTGACCTGGAGTCTTCAAAATATACCTTCTGTAATCATGGCTGTTGTAATCTTGTTTTTATGTTAGTTTACCATATGTAACTTGACTGTTGTATAGATTTATAGCGATCACTGCAAGCTTTTAATATTTAGGTGAAGAGAAATTTCAGACTATCAATCACAGGCACTTGTTTCATATACGGTGCACCCCTACTTATTTTTACCACAAGGTATCTAACTCAATTTCAGGCACCCCCGCTTCAAGCTCGTATTTTGTTCATGTATCATTATCAATCATTAACCTACTTTAAAATGACATCGTTCGCTTCAAGAGACTTTTTTCTTGTCAAATAAATCGTTTCAGACATCTCTGGTCGAGTCTCTTTATTGTAAAGCACTCATTGATTCCACGAAAATTACCTCGATACATTTTAAGACTTTAGATGGGATACAACTTCCAGTTGGGGGTAGAATAAAACCAGAGACTTCCGAGTATTCCATTCCGAGGTCTCTGGTTTTATCCTTCATTTATAACCCCAACCGCAAATTTGTATCGAAAATTACCTTGACACATTTTAAGACTTTAGATGGGATACAAATTTCATTTTTTTCACAGGTCACGAGGTTTCAACTTAAAAAATAAAAATTCTCACCGTTAAGATATGTTGGAAATTTTAGCTTGATGTGTTCATAATTTGCCAAAATTATTATGTAATAAAGGGGACTTTATATGATCACCTGGTGCTGTCGCTTTAGTTCAGTCTTCACAACAATTCTTTTTCAGCACATGCCCTTCGGGCATGTAGACCTATCATTTTTACCCAGCCCATTCAAATTTGTACATGTCCTACTCAAAATTCTTACATTTACCAGTATTGCGCAACAAAAAAAACCCATTAGGTATAAAGGTTTTGTATTAATTTTTTCAGCGTCGTAAACCAACCATGGCCTGTGATTGCCATTTTCTAAAGCGTTTTTGTTCATAAATAACTTTTGAGTTGCATGCTGGTCATTTGTTGGCCGGTTTAGCTGAACTGAATTTCAGAAATGGGATCATGAGTAGTGCCACAGTATGTGGCATTGATGAACATCTCATAATTTAGCAAGCAACTTCGAGAAAACAAATAGGTTAAACTAAACACTTCAATGATTAGATTGACAATCATTTGACAGGTCGTATCGAGAATGTAGACAGGCAATCCATCGACATTACATATAGCAACGTTTAAGCGAATAATGGGGGTAGGACAGAGTAAATGGCAAGTAAAGATCGTACAATGAAAGAAGATTCACATATGCCCTCTTCGGACATGTAATTTGGCAATTTTTACATGCCCGGCTGCAAATTTAACAGGTCCCTGGCATTGGACTCCCGGGTTATTTGGAAGACTGTTAGTTTAGTTTCATGAGGTCCGACAACATTGATTCTCAATGTCTGCTCCCTCTACCCCATACACTTATCTTGATAAAATTACATAAATTATATTATTAATTATATAAATTGATATAAATTATATAAACCGGTCTTGTTTATATAATTTTACAATGTCATAAACAGCTGCTTAAGTGCATATAATATTGTACTAAATGGATTTATATATAGGATTAGGGAAAGATCCTCACTTGATTATGGCAGCATATTTAGCCCGTAGGAGTTTATTATCTACCACACATGATCAATGTCACTTTTGGACGTGAATGACTTTTGACACCCTAACTTCAGTTCAAATCAACGTTAACTTTATGTGACGTCTCTCTGAATCTTTTTTGGCATGTAACTTGGGTAAAAACAATTAAGTACTCTTGATGCATTTGATTTCTCTTAGCCCGTTTAAACATTTCCAAGGTCTATACCAGTTTTTGCAGGGGCGAA